CAATCCCAGCACGCTCAGCATAGCACTCTTGGTAATGTCTCTTTACTGTAATAAGTTGGTCTATAAGAATGAACATTGACCACATGTTTCACTTCCCCTTCCGTCTGCCCGTATGTGTCTACAGCGGCCTCGACTTAAATGCTTCGACTTTCCAGCTGCCCAACGCTGGGAGAGCTACGCGCAGTCACTAAATCCAGCTTTGAATGTTGGATTTCAAATTTGGGTCTTTTGTGGGTCTCAGTGGTATGTGGTCTGACCCTTTCTTGAAGTCCTTGTTGTCTACACAATTGGGAGGGGACAACAGATGCCAGCATCCTGTGTGACCAGGCTGTGACGTTTGGTAGTCTAAGTGACCCAGTGCATTTTCCATTTATGACATTTTTCACTTATTTGGCTCATTTTCAACTCATTATGGTATTTTGACTTTCATATTTATGTGGTTGTAACCCCGTAGCAGGCTGAGGAGCATCTGTATATGCGCACATGCACGTATATGGATGCATATACACGCACCTATATGCAAATAGATGTGTATGTAGGTAAATATGTGCACATGCACATGCATCTGCAACCTGTGTCATGACACCTGCCCTAAGGTGTCACACACTCAGCGCTGTGATTCACCCTCTCTGACTGGATGTCCAGACGTCAGCGGTCATGATCTGCAGAGGAATTGTGCCTGTGGGGCCCCAGGCATCCCCATGTGTGGCCCTGGAGCCCCCGCCCCACCTGGGCACACACACACATGCACTGGTCCTGAAGCACAGTGGTCCAGCCTCTTCCGAGACCCTGGGTGCTGACCTGGGAAGTCGCCTCCTTTCCTAGGTCTCGGAGCTTCCCGGGGGTGCAATTCCCAGTGTCCTCGTACAAGGAGAGCCTGCATCTCCATGGTGAGGCGCTTGATGTACCTAGAGCCTCTCGGGATGATCTTCTATGTGCAGAGGGCGATGGCCTTGCGTTCAGCTGAGCCTCTCCTCGCTCGCACCTGTCGAGTCAGCTCACCAGGACTCATGTGTGTCCCTGTCTCACACAGGACCTTTGGCTTCACCTGCCCACTGCTCAGTTTGCCTGAGTAGGGCCACAGATGGGGAGGCTCTGATCTGAGAAGAGTGTTTGGACCGTGGCACAAGCCATGTGGCTGTGTGGCAGCCATGCTGTGTCTGGGTGGCTTTGCAGGAGCCTTGCATGGACAGCACAGTGGGGCAGCGAGGTGCTTGTGTCTGCCTTGCCCCATGGCAGGGTTTGCTTAGCACCTGTAGCTCCCTGCAGCTCCCAAGGTCAGGATGAGCTGGCCAGTTGGGCGGGCTGCACATGGAGGTCCTCGTTGAGTCTCCCCTCTCCCATGTGACCCTTCTCCCTGCTGGGCGCTCCTCTTCCCACTCGTGTGGCCAGGTTTTAGCAAATAAAACCAGTGGCTACCTAGTCATAATTGATTTTCAAGTACACCCTGGTGCTGTTTTAGTGGAAGTGTGCCGTAATTGTTCCATGGGGTGCTGGGCCTTTGAGCCTGAGGTCTGCAGCACAGTGAGTGGAGATCCAGCCCTCCATGGACCATGCTGGCCACCAGCCCACAGGGCTGTGTGCAGATGGTAGGTGTGAGTCAGATCCCACCGGCCTGGGAGAGAGGAGCTGCGCTTGCTCCCAGACATCCACCAGCCCTCCTGGGCTGGCGCTGCAGTCCCCTGTGGCCTGGGAAATCCCCCTCCACCCAAGTGCACTCAGGAGATCTCTGTTCCCCAAATCCTGTCCCACATGGCATCTGGCACTGTGGGGGACATGGGACACTCCACAAGACCCTGGGGCCTCCCCGTATCCGAAGAGCCAGGGTGCTCCAGGTGTCTGAGAAGCCCTTGGCTCGTGCATGTCCGTCCATGAGCCTGGAGGGAAGACTACACACAGGACAGAGGTGCAGGGCCAGGTCCACCCCGATGAAGGGACACTCTTCTCCCTTCCCACAGCAAGGCTGGGAACTGACTTCAGCCACGGACAGATTGACCTACCTTCAGCTGAAGGAGGGCTCTGAGCAATACAGTCAGTTTAGGAGAATTCCACGCTGAGCTTTGTAGGCATGACCTTGTCACTTTCTTTATTGCTGGGACAAACACCCGACAGGCCCAATATAAAGGTGGAAAGGTTTGTTTCGGCTGGCATTTCAACCCATACTGGGCCGGCTCCACAGCTGTGGGGGGGTTAAGGGTGGGGGAATGGGGAGTTGGGGGTGGGGGGTGGTAGAGGAAGCGGCTCACCTTGGGGCTGTCAGGAAGCTGGGAGGGTGGTGTGGTGCGGTGGGGGGTAGGAAGGGGGTTGGCGGTGAGGGTGGGAGGTGTGGGGGATGGGGGTCCACCCCTTCAGGCCGTGGCCCAGGGATCCACCCAACTCAGCTGGAAGCCCCCACGGTGCAATGCCCTTGCACACGCCCAACCTCAATCCACATGAGGCTGTAGGGGGCCATGAATACAAGCTAAGAAGGCGAAGGCCAGTCAGTTGTGCAGGACTCATTTCCAGCTGGGACGGCTTGACGGCACTGTTCAAACTCACCTAAACAGAAGCAGCGTATGGGCTGTGTCGCGGAGTCACAGCTTCAGAAGCAGCTCCGGCCAGCAGCTCACGTTGTTCTCTTCCGCTCTCTCCTCCTTTTTCCGTCTCCCTCCCTCTCTTTAGAATTTGTTCAGTTTTCATTATTTTTTAGGGTCTCCTCAGACCACCAGGGTGGCAGGCTGACCATCAACCACACCCCTGAAGAAAGTGGAGAACCTAAGTCAGAGTCCACAGTCCCTGTGATGTCCCCGACTGGTCCCCCTTGGGCCCAGCCGGCACCGTTCCCTGCGGCGCTCTGGCTGCCCTGGGTCACAGCAGCATCCGGGTCCCACAGCGTGCAGCTCTGCAGTCCAGCCCTGGTGAAGCGCTCCTGACCAGGCCGTGTGCCTCACGGGAGGAGGGGTGACTTGTCCCATTTTAAGTGCTTCACACAACTCCTCATCATCTTAAAGAGACATAAAGTCCACGTCTGTGGTTCTGTGGAAGACAGGGACACAGACAAGGCTTCGGGCGGCCAGCCACCCCCTGCCAAAGCGGAGCTGTCTCCCAGGCTCAGCCCTTCGGTGACAGAGGTGTCCAGCACTGTGAATGTGTGGTCTGTCCTTCCAGGCCCCTGGAGGTGACACTTCTGCATCCCTTAGACAGTGGGGTCAGGTGACAGACACTGGCCCTGCACCGGGCGCTGAAGTCCCGCCTGTGGCCGCCAGGGGGAGGCATTTCCCTGTCAGCAGACTCCACGTGGTCCCCGCTCTCAGGCTGCCTTCAGGGGAGCCTGTCACCCTCTCAGTGTTTGGAATCTGTGTCCTGCTGTGAGGTACTCTGGGATGCTTGCGAAGAGATTCCAATTTGCATGGGTTTGGGTTTTGCTTTGTCTCTGGAATAATTTTATACATTGACAAAAGTTGATATTTAGTTACTGTACAGCATGATGTTTTGACGTATCAGACATGCAAAGGCTCAGTTGAGTTACTTAGCGCATCCATTGCCTTAAATAGCGCGGGTGTCAAGAACAGTTAAAATGTAGCCCTTTTGGCGACTTGCGAGTGTGTGTTGGGCTGTTATTAACTGTGGTTACAATGTCCGTCGCCACCCTCTCCTAAACTCAGCCCTCCTTCTGAAATTCTTGCGCAATTTCTCCAGGAACCTCCCGGTCCCCTTTCCCACCCTCCAAGGCTTTGCCAGCAGACTGGGATTCATCCTGTTGGACCTCGCTTCTTCTTATCCCCAGCTCATTTGCTCAACATGCACCAGGGTGAGCTTCTGTTGGGCGGAAGGGGGTCTCCCAGTCCCACCCCTACATGCCGGCCAGTCCTGTAAGGCAGCATCAAATTCCTGCCCCAGCGTCCAGCCTGGCTCCCTGGCTGCGAGGCTGGGGTCCGGTCTCCGCCCTTCGTGCCTGTGGACCCTCACTTGCCCACCCGCCCACTTGGGGCAGAACCATCCCGGCTTCACGCCCGGGAGGCGCGGGACTGAGACGCTCGTCCACGATGGGGAGGCAGTGACTGCCAGCCTTGAGGCTGTGTCCGCCCAGATGTGGTCTCCCTGCAGGACAACTGGACAGTCCGGCCTGGCAATCCCCGGCGCAGCCTCACTAGGCAAGCCAAAGCCTGGAGCCAGAGTCAGCTGGACCGCAAGGTCATGGTGACCTATCAGGAAGGGCAGCTGCGGGCCAACCTGCCTTGGGGCTGTGCACCAGCCCCGCAGCTGGGCTCGCCCAAAGCCTTCTGCAAAGGCAGCCTCAGCAGGACCCAGAAGCTATTTTTAAACCTGGAGACATATTTGGTAAACAGCCCCTCAACCCTCGAAAAAACAAGAAACAGTTTTATTTTATTTTTATCATTTCCCTGTTTATTTCAAGAGAACAAAGAATCAACTATCAAATTCTGTACAAAAACATGACATTAGAGCTGAGGGGACCCATGGGCCAGTCCCCTTCCCACACCTGAGCCCAGGGCTCCCCTAATTTGTCAAAAGCCAAGACAAGATCAAAAAACCCAAATCCTGGAAAAATTATTATGAAAACTCTGAGGAGACCTTCCTGGGTGGCTCCCTTCCTCACTGTCACCTACCCAGGGACTTGTAGTAGGGGCAGAAAGGCCAGATTTACGTTTGGCATCCAGTGGAGGGCTGGGGCTAGTAGGAGGGGCCTAGGATGGGAAGAGATCTCTGGCTCTGTCCCTGCTCATGGGATGCTCAAAAGAGTTTATAAAAAATTGGGGCCAGAGAGTAGAAGAGAATGGATTCATCAGAATCAAAACCTAAGTAGTGATTGGGGTATAGCTCTGCGGTACAGCGCCTGCCTAGCAAGGGCGAGGTCCTGAGTTCCATTCCCAGTTCAAAAAAAAAAAAAAAATAGTGGAAAGATTTTGTTGTTGTTGTCTTCTTTAAAAGGCATAGGACTAGAAAACGGCCTAGGTCCTGAGCGCCCCAAGAGTTGGGTCCTCCCTCCGTCAGCCCCCAAGCCAGGCAGAAGCAGGCCTGGGGAGCGGGGAGAGGCGGGTTCTTTAAAAAGTCACTCCTGGATGGAAGGCGCTGACTTGTGTCACCTTCCTCTGCTTCTATTACTGCCTTCACTGCCGCCAAGGAGGAGCGGGAAGCGGGACCAGGGCTATGCAGGCAAACTCAGCTTCTTCCCCTTGAGGACTTCGGTGATGTAGAGGTAGCAGAAATCGCAATAGAGGACTGTCTGGACCAGCCCAGCCACGATGGCGATGAGGTCGAAGAAGCCTTCCAAGTGGCAGCGCCACATCCAGTTGAAGAGATAGAGCGCGCGGTAGACGCCCAGCGCAGGTAGTAGCTGGTGATGGTCTCTACCTCGCTGGTCTTGCTCACCATGAACAGCTCCGACAGTATGGCCACGGACTCCAGGTAGATGGGGAAGGTCCAGAGGATCTCGAGAGGGGTGCAGTCATGGTTGACCAGGAATGCAAGGACGGCCGTGGGAAAAACAAGGAATTCCACTCGAACCGTGTCACGGTTCCCACCCTAGGGAGCTTTGAACTTGCTATAAATCATCCAGACAGTGGTGAAGGAGC